TCTGCTCTGTGTGTGACAGGGGGTGCTGCCCCAATTCCCCTATTGGCCCTACTCTGTGAGTGACAGGAGGGAGCTCCTCAACCCCCTTATCGGCCCTGCTCTGTGCGTGACAGGGGGGAGCTCCCCAATCCCCTGATGGGCCCTGCTCTGTGAGTGACAGGGGGCAGCGCCCCAACCCCCTGATTGGCCCTGCTCTGTGTGTGACAGGGGGTGGCGCCGCAACCTCCCCATCGACCCTGCCTTGAGTGTGACAGGGGGTGGTGCCCCAACCCCCCAATCGGCCCTACCCTGAGTGTGACTGAGGGTGTCATTGCAACCTCCCGATCCGCCCTGCTCTGTGCATGACAGGGGAAGGTGCCCCAACTCCCCAATCGGCCCTGCTCTGAGCCCGACCAGGGGCTACACCTAGGGATTGGGCCTGCCCTCTGCCACCTGGGAGCATGCCTTAGCCAGCAGGTCGTTATCTCCCGAGGAGTCCCAGACTGCGAGAGGGCATAGGCCAGGCTGAGGAAGCCCCACCCTCCCCCCTTAGTGCACGCATTTTTGTGCACCAGGCCTCTAGTCTATATATATAAAAGCCAAGTGAATGGAAAGATGGAACAATAAAATGACTTGAACGACAGGTCGCTATGACATGCACTGTGGGGAGATCTTTCTAGCTTCATTTCCTATCACTATTCACAATCATTCCATGCTCCCCACCAACCTTCTGTGGCCCCTCCCCCCAGCCGGCCCCACCCTTGATTGACTCATCCACCCCCATTGGGGGCAGGGCCCACTTGCCAACCTCCCACAACTCCTCCCCCTGCCGGCCGTGCCCTGATCAGCCCCCATTGGGGCAGGCTGGCTGGCCTCCATTTGTGCATGAATTTACACCTGGCGCCTAGTTTTATTATAATTGCTTATCTATATCTTTAACTTATTAGCTTATAACCACATAAGAGCGAGGACTTTGTCTTATTCATCTTTATGTCCCCAACACTTTGAATAGGGCCAACCACAAAACAAACAGGATAACTGTCTGTGAGATGTATAAATGGCAAAGTGAAGAGGTGTGTGGAATCTATTCCTTTTTCTAGTGCAACAGTAATTCTATGAAAATGATAGAAATTAAAGGTTACCTGGCATCACCCAGAATTGAAATCACACGGTAATGGGGTAACTCAGAAGATGCTACATGAGCTAGGATTCCAAAGAGTCTTTCAGCCATTATCATATCGTTCTGTGTCACCTGAAGATATACAATGGAGATGGTTCAGAAATGACACTGTCTCTTAGCTTCATACAACATTCCAAAGAAATGCCCAGATTAAGTATTTTCTTTTTAGCCCAGGAAAGTACATTGTCTTGGGCTAGAAGAAGAGAGTTCTCATTGACATTTCATTTTCTTCCCTGAGCTTAATTAGAAGATGTACAAAAGTGGCTCATGGTGACAGAGGATGACTACAAGTTGAGTTTGCATTGACTTATAAGCTATATTTCCTGAGAATTATACTGAGGCACCTTAGATTCTTAATGAATTTTTTAGAAATCCTATAGCTTCTTGAGGTAGAATGATGTAGGGGGAAATTACCAAGTGTCAATGAGATAGATTCATTTCAATAATGTTTCAGAGGTACAACGTGTTGTTCAGACCTTGCTCCTATAAGGATAATTTTGTCCCTGCCTAAGACTTAGAACACTGGATTAGCAAGGATACTCCTGTTCATTCTGAAGTTATGTCCACCTTTCACACTACAAGGATTAACTTGTCACAGGTATTCCCTGTGATGGTTCACTCAGATGTTAACCAAGAAAATGCTAAAAGCAGGACTTGGATTAATTTTTTATTCAATGTGAAATAATTCACATTATTTCTTTTATGGCATATTTTCTTTAATGTGAAATAGGGTTGCTTGCATTTTAAGTACTATTAGTTTGTTTCTACAATTCAGTAGTTCCCAACCAGGGGCCATTTTAGTCCCTAGGGAACACTTAGCAATGTCTGGAGACATTTTTGGTTGTCACCACTGGTGAAGAGGCATTACTGGCCTCTAGTGGGTAGAGGCCAGGGATGCTGCAAAACATCCCACAATGCACAGGAGAGACTCCAAAACAAAGAATTATCTAGCCCCAAATGTCAACAGAGCTGAAGTTGAGAAACCCTGATACAGGTAAATTTTGAATCTCTTATAAGTTCATTCTTAACATTAGCTATACTTCATGGCATTTTCTGAAAAATAAACCCATAATTCACAAGCATCTTATGAATCAGTGCAGACAGATGCAAAAAAAAAAAAAAAAAGAAAAGAAAAGAAAAGATATGCTTGGGCTGAGATATGCCAATAGTTATTAACTAGATTAATAGGAGAAGCAAATAGATTCTTTTCTTAATATATATTTTTATTGTTAACAGTACATATATTACAGATGTCCCTCATCTCCCTCTTTCTCCCCTTCCATACCTTGCCCCATCCAAGCGTTCACCCATGGGCTATGCAAATCTATATGTAAAAAAGCCTAAGTGACCAGCTGACCAGCCAGTAGCTATGACATGCACTGATCACCAGGGGACAGACACTCAATGCAGGAGTTGCTGAGTGATAGCAACTTTGCAGAGTGCCCTCTTGCACTCTGGGACCCCTTGGGGGATGTTGGACTGCCAGTTTCAGCCAGATCCCTGCAGGCCAGGCCAAGGGACCCCACTGGTGCACAAATTCGTGCACTGAGCCTCTAGTATGTATATAAGTTCTTTGGATAATCTCCTCCTGTCTGCCCCACTGCCCTCCCCTCTGAGATCCATCAGTCTGTTCTATGTATCCATGCTTCTGGATCCATTTTGTTCATCAGTTTATTTTACTCATTAGATTCCACATATAAGTGAGATTATGTGATATTTGTCTTTCTTGGACTGGCTTATTTCACTTAGCATAATACTTTCCAGGACCATCTATGCTGTCTCAAAGAGTAACAGACCCTTCTTTTTACAGCTGCATAGTCTTTCATTGTGTAAATGTACCACAGCTTCTTAATCCATTCATCTACTGATGGGTACCTGGGCGGCTTCCAGATCTTAGCTATTGTAAATAACTCTGCTATGAAAATAGGGCTGCACATATTCTTTCTGATTGGTGTTTCAGGATTCTTATTCCTAGAAGTGAGATCACTGGGTCAAACGAAGTTCCTTTTTTAATTTTCTGAGGAAACTCCATGTTGTTCTCCATAGTGGCTTCACTGGTCTGCATTCCAACCAGCAGTGTACTAGGGTTCCTTTTTCCTCCCATCCTCACCAGCACTTGTTTGTTGATTTGTTGATGGTAGCCATTATGGCAGGTATGAGGTGATAACACATTTTAATTTGCACCTCTCTGATGATTAATGACACGGAGCATTTTTTCACATGTCTCTTGGCCATCTGTATGTCCACTTTGAAGAAATGTCTATTTAAGTCCTTTGCCCATTTTTTAATTGGATTGTCTTCCTTTTGTTAAGTTGTATGAGTTCTTTAAAATATATATATGGCGGCCGGCAGCCAGGCAGCTTGAAACTACAGGGAGGCTTGCTTGCTTCAGTGACAGAGAACTCCAACGTTCCCCAGCTGACTTGCCGGCCTCTCAGCTGCAACTCTCAGCAACTATGTTGTGAATAAAGAAGCTAAAAAAACCCCAGAAACCTGCTTTCATCAG